AAGAAAACATCTTCAGTGGTTTGGGTAAGGTGCTTGTTGATTTTGAGCCAGATATGTGATTATTCTTTTTTAATTGTTTGGATGTATTTGTCAATTTCTTGTTTGTGCCAGATTATGATGCCCCCTGAATCTCTTCCACATGTGATTTTTTCATGTTTTCTAGAGGATACAAATATTTCACAGTATCCTGGGGGACAAAGAGTGACTTCATCAGTTTTGCACAATGTTTCCTGTAATATTATTGTGTCCATGTCTGATATGTTTTTTTTCTAAAATCTGAGGTTTGGGTTTTGGAACCAAAACTTGCATGAACCTTGTATGTTCCACATTGTAATAATGAATGATCTCATTTAGTCAACAAATGTAAAAATTCAACAATCTTAATATTGCTCTAGAGCAGCAGTGGCGAACTCCGTGTCCTGGAGAGCCGCAGCCCTGCAGAGTACAGCTCCAACCCTAATTAAAACTCACCTGCCTGTAGCTTTCTAATAACCCTTCAGACCTTGATTAGCTTGTTCAGGTGTGTTAGATTAGGGTTGAAGCAAAACTCTGCAGGGCTGCAGCTCTCCAGGACCGACGTTCGCCACCCCTGCTCTAGAGTGATGCAAACCCAAGTCCAACACAGTATCAAGGATCAAAGAGTACATGTGTAAACATAGATCTAAATTTTTTAAAATATATACATATATTGTGTGTATGTCTTTTACTCACTACTACTGTTCCAGCCGTGTGCGTATAAGTCTGAGCAGGTCCTTAATCTCTACTAGGTTAGTGTGGTTTGGCCCTTTTAGGGCTGCGGCATAACTCCTCTGCTCTTGCTGTTCAGGCCGGTGGGGGTGTGGACCAGGCTGCTCCTCTGCTGAGATGCTGTTGTTCCTCGCTGGAGCTGGTCTGGGTCTTTTGTGGTTGTGCTGATGTTGGTCCCAGGAGAGAGGGCCCTGTGGTGCAAGGTACTGTTGCTGGGGTCTCAGCTGCTCGGTGTAGGCTGATGGTAGTAGAGAGCAGGCTGTGGAGGTTGAGGTCGAAGTACAGGTTCAGGTTGAGGTCCAGGTCGAGGTACAGGTCCAGGGTGGTGGGGTGGGGGCATAGTGGCTTGGTCATAGGGTGCAGGCCTGTGGGTAGGGTTTGTACAGTACTGCTCAGCCGAGCCTGGAGAGGTGATGTTCTGTGGTGCTGTTGGGGGAAAGCGTCTCACTGACTGAAGGGTAGTGGCTGCTCTGGCGCTCTTTGGGGGGTTGCCAGGGGTTCGGCCCAGGGTCACGTCTTTAAGGGTTTTGGCAAACATACAAACACTGTCTTTACGGAGGTGGACATGGTCGTAGAGGTGGCCGAGGTCCAGTGTAGGATGATGTGCCAGGTGAACATTTGGCATTCCAGCACATCTATGTGAGATGTCTGTTTACTCTTTGTATGGTGCGAGGATGGAAGTCTGATCTGGGCAGGATGGTGGAGATAACTACTTTTGAAGTTGGAAAGGTTTGTGTTGCTTTTATGGCCACCCGTGTCACACTCTCTCATTCAGCTCAGCTCCAACAATGAACTGTTCCAATTATACACTTATTTTCACATAGCTATGAGAAACGTTAAACATGGTCATTGTGCGTGCAGTTGCCGTACTGTATTAAAGCTTTAATCAGGATAAAACCATATATTAAGCAGTAGCATTTACAAATAACAGCATATCTAAAAGTATGAGACAACAACAAACAAAAAACATCAGTGTCTTCAGATGTGGTAACCATGGTATAAGCAAAATAATTGACCACAGGCAGTCAAAATATTAAAAAATAATGCACACCAAAGTGTAATGTCAGTCTGTGCCATGTAAATTATTTTTCGATGATTCAACGGCCTGTTGTCAGTTATTCCTTATTATTTGAACTTTAGAGTTTTAAGCTCGTCTTTTGCAATATTTGTCTACTAGCCACGTTTGACACACTTACAATGTGTTAAGTGATCACAATTTCTGCTTCTTGATTGATTGTCAACATAATTGTTTGCGATATTTGCCTGCTGGTTATTTATCCTGAAAATGTTTTATTTTAATTTGCAATTTACCTTGTCTTGCATTGGTAACAAGCCTCCACAAGATTCCATGGTGTTAGTTGCTAGATGTCAAGAGTTTAAATCCCCCAATCAGAGCTTTTCTCTTAAATCAATACATTTTATGCCCAGTGGTTTACTTATTTTTCCCAACCTGGCAACCATGCGCAATCAAACTGTCAATCAAGCTTAAGCTCATTTACTTCTTACACAAGAAGCTAATAAGAAATAGTAGATGGATTTGGAATCTCACAAAGGTTCAGCATCCACAACTTAAAGCTGTGTGTTGTCAGTCAGCAACCGGCCCTTCTTACAAGACTAAGATGAGCAGCCCCTCTCCTGGGGCACACTAACGACAGCATTTGAAATGCCATGGTGCCTCTCTAATGAATTAGATTAATGTGGTCACCCGTCCATTTTACTTTTACTTTTAATTAGTGCATAATTTACTAAACAGGAAATGGAACTGTGATGTTAATCAGGCTATAGATTTTCTGTCTGCAGCATGAAGATATGTGTGCCCTGAGGGAAGTCAGCATGCTCAACAGCCATCTAAGAGACAATAACGTTTTTTTCTTCTTCTAGGAATAGAGGATTATTGTTGCGGCTCTTAGCATATTTACACTGCAAATTGTTTGTATTGAGTCAAAGTGTATTTCTGCCACTGTGCTTGGTGAAATCTTGATCATGGAAAGCGTCCAAAACAATCATGTTTTTCTTAATTTTTCTTATTTGCTAGCTGTCACAAATGTCAGAATACTTGAGCAGTCTACTGTGGTTTCTTTTCTTTTTATACATGTTTAGCCCTTTTTATATATGATTATATGAGGCATAAAACCCTGTTTAAGATGATGTCTGTCATATTTCATTTATATATGGGCGTTTCTTCAACTAGGTGCACTTTTATCCTTGTGAAGTTGAATAAAAAAAACTTGTTCAAAAGTTTCCAAGTGACTGCTGCAGAACGCATGAGAGAGAGAGACGAGGCAGCGCATTTCACGCGTCTCATAAGTCAGTAGGAATGTACCGAACGTGGCACTTGCGGGAGTTCAAGTACACACCAAATTTCAGGCCGTGTAGATAGGCAAGCATATATACAAATCATTTAGTAAGCAGAAATCCGAAATTTACCTTAACATATTAAGTTAGAGGAAGATGCGATTGAATTGATGCTTGAAAAATGCGCTTCCAGCAGCCATGATAAACAGTTGGCGGTTAAAGTTTTCTATGCACAATTTGATTTGACGAAAGTCACGAGACCTATTACTCTCTATCCAATCACGTTGATGGATAAATTTATTTTTATTAAAATAAGCATGTATCGACCACAAACAGGAAAATAGCGGAGTAAAAGTACCGATACATCACTTAAAATGTACTCAAGTAAAAGTACACAATTTTTAAACTACTCAAAAAAGTACAATTACTGATAAAAACTACTTACTGTAACGTGAGTAGGCTATTTGTAATTCGTTACTTCACACCCCATGGCGAAGTTGCTGGATATTGGCAGGAACTGGAACACGCTGTCGTAGATGCCGAACCAGAGCATCCCAAACATGTTCAATGGGGGACATGTCCGGTGAGTATGCTGGCCATGCAAGAACTGGGATGTTTTCAGCTTTCAGGAATTGTGTACAGATCCTTGCAACATGGGGCCGTGCATTATCATGCTGCAACATGAGGTGATGGTCATGGATGAATGGCACAACAATGGGCCTCAGGATCTCGTCACGGTATCTTTGTGCATTCAAAATGCCATCAATAAGACGGTTTCTGACAGTTTGTTTAGAAATTCTTTGGTTATGCAAACCGATTGTTGCAGCAGCTGTCCGGGTGGCTGGTCTCAGACGATCTTGGAGGTGAAGATGCTGGATGTGGAGGTCCTGGGCTGGTGTGGTTACACGTTGTCTGCGGTTGTGAGGCCGGTTGAATGTACTGCCAAATTCTCTGAAACGCCTTTGGAGATGGCTTATGGTAGAGAAATGAACATTCAATTCACGGGCAACAGTCAGCATGCCAATTGCACGCTCCCTCAATACTTGCGACATCTGTAAAATTAAAATAACAAATACAAATAATACAAATCAAACGACAGTAGTTTATCAATAATCCTAAAAAATAACATTGTCAAACATACACACAACTTACTTACACATAGTAAGGAATGGTTATAAAAACTGAAACAGATGTGAAACTAGTAGTAGGAAAGAGGATAAATAAAAAGCGATACTTATCCTTTGCCGGTGTCCCTGCCCGGTGTAGTCGCACGGTAGAGTCGATGGTCTTTACACTCTTCGGTCGCACGGTAGAGTCGATGGTCTTTACACTCTTCGGTCGCACGGTAGAGTCGATGGTCTTTACACTCTTCGGTCGCACGGTAGAGTCAGAATCAGAATCAGAATGAGTTTTTATTGCCATATTATCGCAGACGATGCTGTATCACACACCCCAGACTCGAATTGAGTGGAAAAGGAATCATCCGTGGTTGTGCGCGCACTTGTTTGCACATGAGCATGAGTCTAACTTGCTTTCCTGCAGTCCGTGTTCTTCTGACTTCTGACTATTTTGTAGTAAGTAATGAATATGCTTCGGGGAAATGTATCGGAGTAAAAGTATACAATTTAATTAGGAAATGTAGAGGAGTAAAAGTAAAAGTTGGCTGAAATATAAAAACTCAAGTAAAGTACAGATACTCCCAAAAATACTTAAGTACTGTAACAAATTATTATTACTTTGTTACATTACACCACTCCTTTTGTTGTTATATTGCTGTTGCTAACATTTTATATAAGCCGCAAGAACTGTGGCACTATGTTACAGTGCTTTTACCAGATTTAAGGAGGTTTCAGGCATTCACATTTACATAATTTGCTTTATTACATTATTGGCATACAGTAATAGTACATATCTTAAACATCCTGTTGGATCTTGATCTGTTTGTCTATGTTTTGCAGTTGCACTGGGGCGAAACCAGCCCCTGAAGAGAGAGAAGCCCAAATGGAAGAGCGACTACCCAATGACTGATGGGCAGCTGCGCAGCAAGCGTGATGAATTCTGGGATACCGCACCGGCTTTTGAAGGCCGCAAGGAAATTTGGGATGCACTTAAGGCAGCTGCCCAGGCCTTTGAGAGCAATGACCATGAACTTGCTCAAGCCATAATTGATGGCGCCAGCATAACATTACCACACGGTAAGAGGCGCATGTCACAGATGCTGGTAGACCAGCGTGCTTTGTAGCATATTAATAATGGTTTCTCATTCTGTATTTAGCTGTTTTTTTTATTTTAAATCGTCTTCCAACGTTTGTGAAAATACGTTTTCTTTTTTATTTCTATTTTTCTGTCTTAGTTTCCCTTCCCTTTTTTGTGGCTTGCTTAGTTGGGGACAAAGAGTCGAAAAATAAAGCAGATCTTGCCGTTTTTAAGGCATTTATGTAGGCAGAAACACTATCCTTCCACAATTTGAAAAACCTGTAGTTTTGTTTTCTTCCAAATACACTCCATTTTCTGGGCTGTTCTCTTTAGGGCGTGAGTGTGCTTGTTATGTCACTGCATCGGATTGTTTTCCTTAAAGGGATAGTTCTCCCAAAAATGAAAATGTGCTGTTAATTTACTCACCCTCAAGCCATCCTAGATGTCAAGAAAATATTTACTTGAAATCATGGTCCTTAGTGATTCATAAAATGCAAGTCAGCAGTTACCTGTCACGGACCAGGTGTGTGGAGGCAGGCAGGATGACGAGGACGACAAGGATACAAAATAAGTATATTTAATGTAGCGACAACAAGGCAGAGACAGACACACACTCGGGGTAACATTCACAATAACCGACAACACTAGAATACTCATGCTGTTATGTAATGTAAATGCAATTATGTTATTAAAGCCCTGAATAATGATGTGAAATGTGGGTGTTTTACATGTCTAAAGCATTTAAAGTAAATAAACTAGTCTTCATCAGCTCACCTTTTTTCATAAATAATGAGAAACCATTAAAACTTTAATTTTGCTCCTTCATTCAAGTGTTAGGTTCACGCATGCGCATATCACCGGCTCATCAGTCTTTGGTCGGTGTTGGAACTATTTCCTTAGTTCAGTGTACTGTTGGAGGAACTGGAGCGCTGAATGAGTTGTCAAAAAACAGCATTACAGGATGATATATGCCAGAATTGGTTCATTTTGAGTCAAAGTGCCTGTCAGGCATACGAAAGTGAGTTTTGATTAAGTAACATGTATATCTGTGCTGCTTGAGCTCCAAACTGTTTCAGATGGTTAAGTCCAATCTTAAAAAGAACTGGTTCAAAAGAATGATTAATTTGCGAAACGGACATCTCTCTGGACTGTTTGACTGAGGATATGGATTACAGGTGGTAATGTCATAAATAATGTTTAGTTTCTTGCACAAACTAATCGTTTTGCTTCATAAGACCTCAATATATCTTCAGATACCAAGGGTATTTTATGTTCCTTGATGTGCTTTTTTTTTCTCAAAAAATGTGCAGCCGCTGACTTGCATTTTATGAATCAACCAAGGACCAAGGTTTCAGCTTGTAATCTTTTTTACTGTTCTATTCAGAAACAAAGTCATCTACATCTTGGATGGACTGAGGTCGAGTAAATTAACAGCAAATTTTCATTTTTGGGTGAACTATCCCTTTAATCTTCTTTAAGCACAAAGGAGCAACCACGTGTAAAGTGCTAGAAAAGAGAGTCAATAGTTTCTGTGGAAACATCAAATTATTTTTAGCTATCTGGTATGCTGAGGAGTTGAGATGAGTGAGGAAGATAGTTTAGTTCTAGTCTTTAATGGTAGAAGTGATAGTTCAACCATATTTGTAACAAGGAGTTGAGTTTGCAGCTTTAGTTAAATGGACTTTACACAAAACTACATAATGATCTGAAATGTCATCACACTGCTGCAGAATTTCAGCACCATCAACATCGATTCTATGTATCAAAAATAAATCTAGAGTTTGATTCCAACAATGAGTGGACCCTGGCACGTGTCATCTAACTCCAGTAGTGTCAGGGTTTTGGGTAGAGGATGGAGCGAGGACTCAGTACTGCAGAAGAATGGGCTTTATTTTAAAATAAAACTAAACAAAACAACAAAAACTACCCCGAGGGGGAAAAACAGGCTGGCAAGGCAAGGCAAGGCAAGGCAAGGCAGGATCTGGACACATCCAGGGATTGACGATGACGAACTCACGCACGACTGCAAACACAAGGAGAATAAATGGAGCGCAAATGAGGAGGGTAATGAGGGATCACATGTGGGACAAATTAACTAATAATCAGGTAACAAGATGGGAGGGGTCAAGACAATTGACATGAGCACATGGCACACCGAATCAAAGACAAAAAGCCATGTGCTCACACAAAACAAAACACAAGCACATGGCCAGCAAAACAAATCACAAGCCATGTGCTAGAACAAGAGACACGAACACGCAGCTAATGAGAAAACTCATAAGCCGCGTGTTCACACAAGACAACAAGAAAAGCACGCGGCTGAACACAAACCGCGTGCTTCACAAAACACAACACACGTGGACAGAAGAGCGCACGGCCGAGCGAACTCGAGACCGCACGCCCCCCCAACAGACAGAACATGGAGCGCGAGTGTCCGGACCCCGACACGAAACCGAAACTCAAGACATGAGTGCCGGGATCTGAACACCACGCTCCAACATGAAACAGTACACGCAGACGAGAGCGCACGGCTCGAGCACACTCGAAGCCGCACGCTCACATGAAAACAATGACATGACGCGAGTGTCAGGGCTCTGTCACAAAACCATGAATTACACTAGACCGAAGTGACAGAACCCTGACAAGTAGAGTTTAGAATCTCTATAAATGCCAATTCCAATGTGTCTTTTCCATTATCTACATGGATATTAAAATCACCAACAATCAAGACTTTTTGTCTGCAGCCAGTATGAAGCCAGCCAAAAATGAAAATTTGCTGTTAATTTACTCACCCTCAAGCCATCCAAGATGTGACTTCTTTTCTTGAGTAGAACAGTCAAGAAAAATTTTACTTGAAATCATGGTCCTTAGTGATTCATAAAATGCAAGTCAGCAGCTACTGTTTTAGATACTGTTAAAGAAACACAAAATTAACTGATATATATATATTGCCAATGTATTGAGGTATTATGAAGCGAAACAATCAGTCTGTGCGAGAAACTGAATATTATTTACATCATTACCTATAATCCATAGCCTCAGGCAATGGGAAAATCTGATTATTTTCCGTAAACTGTTTTTTTTCAGACAGTTAATTTCAATGAACTGGTTCAGTTCACAAGATCGTTTATGTAATCATGCAATTATGTAATGTAAATGCAATTATATTATTAAAGCACCGAATAATGATGTGAAATGCATTACTTTAAATGTCTAAAGCATTTAAAGTAAAAAAACTTGTCTTCATCAGCTCGATCAATCACACTTCTGAGCAGTGTTTCGGAACATCTGCGCTTCGGGGTCTTGACACCGTGTCGAAACATCAGTTTCGCGTCAGCCATCCCTAGTTCCTTGTTGCCGTGCCTTGCCTAGTTTTGACCCTGGACTGTTTCCTTATATCTGATTGTTTGCTGTAGTGGTGGGCAGAGCGAGGCTTCATGAAACACTGAAAGAGTCTAAGCAAATGTGCTGAGGCTTCGAAACAATTCGACACCCGTCTCTACGGTGACACCTAGTGGTCATTTTCATGTATTGCTCTGAAACAGTATTGACATTGACAAAAACAGTATTGTTGTGCTTGTCATTCCACCATGTGGGTTGGGGGAGTGGTTAGTGTGCATGATTGGCATGTTGTCAGAACCTGTCACTTTAGGTTCGAATCCCGGGTGAAGCGTGTATATAATTATAAAAAAATATTTGAAAGTTGTGTTTTTATTGTTCTGTTCTTGTAATGTGTTGTAACATCTCTCTGACAACTGAATGAACTCTTTGTGAATGTTATTTTGGTCATGAAAAAATTAACATTAATAAAAGACATCAAGCCACAACGCCTGGCATTTTTTACATATAAAGATTTTTATTTAAATATATAAATTGTTCTGCTGCATTAACTCCACTTTTATACTTTGCGGGAGTTAGGTTAAGACAGATGTGCGATTGTGTGGTTGGTTCCCGACCCTGTTGATCAAAAGCAGATTCGGGTCTCGAAACACTTGTGAAACATCCCGATGCTTTGATTTGCCTTAGTCATGGTGTGTCACAGACATGGGTGTTTCGAATCACACTTCGGAGCAGTGTTTCGAAACATCTGTGCTTCGGGATCTCGACACCGTGTTGAAATGTCAGTTTCACGTCAGCCATCCCTAGTTTGCTGCCTGCCCTGATCTTCGCCTGTTTATTGGAGTACTCTTTTGTCTCTTCCTGGATTATACTTGTTAGCTGTTGTTTGACTCTGCCTGTTTTTACCACTCTTTTGAATAAAACCTGCACTTGGATACACCAACCCCGTTGTCACATTCTCCAACATTACAACCATATTCAGAATTTTTGTTTTGATCACTAGATGTGAGATTTGGTGTCACTGATGTCAAACTGGATGTCTTGACATGCCCAATTTGAATATGCATATATTTGATTTGAGAGCTAAAAAATTAGAGCTTCATTCCTTTTAATTTGTGATCTAAAACATGATAACATAGTTGGCAGGGGTGTGCAATATTGCAGTGTTAATTTTGTCAACGAAGACGACAAAAAAAAATAATTTCATTAACGAACATTTTTTCTGTAACTAAGACGAGACATTGACGAGCTAAAACTAATATCTGATGATAAAAACTATGACAAAATTTAAAGCTATTAAAGCAGCGAATGATTTTTCTTTTGCTCTTTTTGAATAACATTTATATAAGAAATGCACGGATCCGTTATACTGATGTACATCTGATATTTCCTTTACTGTTTACATTCACTTAAAACAACCGACTGTGCTTACAAGGATACTTGTCAAGACAGTCATAGGTATTCACCTGCTGTCTGAGAAGGCTATCTGTTTGTGCACTTCAGATGTGTGCGCGGTGCCCCTGGTATAGCGTGCGTAATTATACTGAAACATAAATATATAACCAGTTTACCTGATTCAATGGGATGGCTGAGCCTGTTTCTGAGATAACAACGTGTCAATCCGTGGTTGAATTAACTGATGCTCGCGCCCCCCTTGACA